GGGAAGTGGAATGATATTACATCGTTAATGAATTGATGAAGGATGCACTATTAAGTTGTAGAAATTTCAATGAGAATTGGAGCAATAATGTGTAAAGTGCATGCAATAATTCATATTTAGGCAAGATTTGAGATATCAAGTATCCTCAATTCCCTTGGGATGTTGAAAATGGCTCGGTCGCAAAAGATTTTGTAAAAGTGTCAGCAAGTTGATGTTTACTATCAACATGCTCAAGTACGACATCCCCTTTTTTAACATGGTCGCGTAAGAAATGGTGACAAATCTCAATATGCTTAGTGCGAGAATGTAACACCAACTTCTTGGTTAAGTCGATAGCACTAGTGTTGTCACACATGACAGGAATACATTGCAATTTTATATAAAAATCAAGTAATTGTTGTTTAAGCCACAAAATTTATGCACAACAACTACCAGTCGCAACATATTCTGCCTCGACGGTTGACAAAACATAATAGAATTGTTTCTTGCTATGCTAACTTACTAAGGAATTTGAAAACATGTGGCAAGTTCCACTAGTACTCTTCCTACCCAATTCGCAACCGACAAAATCGGAATAACCAACCAAGTTATATTTGCTTCCCTTAGAATACCAAAGCTCGTATTGACAAATACCATAAAGATATCTAAGAATGCGTTTTACAGCTTTTAAGTGAGATTCCTTAGCAGCCGATTGATAACATACACATGTTAAACATGATATTAGGCCTAGATGTGGTAAGATATAGAAAAGAGTCAATCGCACCTCTATATTTCTTTACATCTACATCCTTGCCATTTTCATTTCTTTCTAGGTTACCATTTGTAGCCATCGAAGTATCAATAGACTTTACATCTTCCATGCCAAATCTCTTTAGCAAGTCTTTGCAATACTTATTTTGACATACAAATGTTCCTTCATTAATTTGTATTATTTGAAGACTAAGGAAGTAGTTCAACTCCCCCATAAGGCTCAATTCAAACTTTCTCTGAATAAGCTTAAAGAACTTTTCTAAAAGTTGCATATTAGTTTATCCAAAAATAATATCATTGACATAAACTTGAACTAGAAGATTATGCTTCTCTTGATTCTTAATGAATAATGTAGTATTTACTTTTCCCCTTGAGTATCCTTTATCAATTAAAATTTTGCTTAACCGCTCATACCAAGCTCTAGGGGCTTGTTTGAGGCCATACAAAGCTCATTTGAGCTTGTACACGTAATTTAGATACTCATGACATTCAAAATAGGGGGGATGGGTTGAGTTACATACACTTTTTCATTAATATAGCTATTTAGAAACACACTTTTCACGTCCATTTGAAATAACTTAAATTTTTTAGTGCAAACATAGGCTAGAAGAAGGCGTATAGCATCAAGGAGAGCAACCAGAGCATAAGTTTCCTCACAATCGACACCCTCGTCTTAGTTATACCTTTGAGTAACTAGTTGGGCTTCATTGTGGGTTATCACCCCATTTTCGTCATGTTTGTTCCTAAAAACCCATCGGATGCCAATTACTTGATGATTTTTAGGACGAGGAACAAGCTTCCAAACATCATTCCTTTTAAATTGATTTAGTTAATCTTGCATGGCCATAAGTCAATGCTCATCAAGTAATGTATCTTTAGCATTTTTAGGTTCGACTTGAGAAATGAACATAGAGTGATAACATAAATTACTTATCTTAGAGCGTGTTGTCACACCTTTTGTGATATCCTCAGGTATATTGTCAATAGGGTGATCTTTTAATGTCTTATAAGTCAAAGGTAGATTTTCCACTACAACTGAACTTTTGACCTTCTCCTCTTCACAATCGTCGTCTTGTTTTTTCTCATGTTCTACCGTTTTAGGTTGATCAATTTCTTGTTCGGTTCCATTGAGAATTTCTTGAGAAGATACACCTACATCATGAAAAACAACACCTTTCCCAATATCTTTTGAGTATGACTCATCAAACGTAAAATGTACGGACTCCTCAATAATAATTAATCTCTTGTTATAAATCATATACGCTTTACTAGATTGTGAGTATCCAAGGAAGACGCCTTCATCGATTTTGGCATCGAATTTACCAAGATTATCCCTTCCATTATTTAAAATATAACACTTACATTCGAATACATGTAGATGAGAAACATTAGGTTTCTACCTCTAAGTAGTTCATATGGGTTTTTGTCTAAAATAAGACGTATGAGAATCCTATTCATGACATAACAATCTGTGTTAATAGTGTCCACCCAGAAATACTTAGGCAAATTATCTTTATTAAGCATACTCCTCACTAATTCCTCTAAAATTTGATTTTTACGTTCCACTACACCATTTTGTTGTGGAGTTCTAGGAGCGGAAAATTTATGCTCAATGCCATGTTTGTCACAATACTTTTAAAATAGGTGATTTTGAAATTTTCCTCCATGATCACTTCAAACGAAAACAATTCTCAAATTCATTTTATTTTGGAATAATCTAGCAAATTGTTTAAAAGACAGGTAGGTCTCATCTTTACTAGACAAAAACAAGACCCAACAAAAAGGTTCATATGGAGAAGCCCAAGAGGTCTCAAGGTAGAAACAAGATTTTTTCGATTTAAAAGAGATTTTCGTTTGCTTTCCCATTTGACATGCTTCACATAAATGGCCTTTAGTGAACTTCATTTTAGATATACAAATTAGGGGTGGCAAAATGGGCCGCCCGCTCCGCCCTGTCTTAAGCCCGCCAAGTGAAATGAGCATAAAAAATCTAGCCCGTTCCACCAAGGTGGCGGGCTTGCCCACCTATTTTTTTATTTATTTGTTTTCTATTTTTTAATAAATTAATAGACATACTTTTACATTTCAATTTGATTTTTCACTTATTTTTTAGAACAATTTTTTATAAAGCATCTTTTTAACAAATTTTACTTGAAAAAATATTGCATGTATTCACAAATAAATGTACAAAATAGAATAATCAGCAGGTATTTCAAAATATAGTTTAAGTATTAACCTTCAACCAACCAAAAAAGTGATTTTAGTGCTTAATAACTATGTTAGCGGGCTGGCGGGGCAACCTGCCCCTTTTCTTGGCGGGCTTAAGGTGGGGCGGGCTAGGCGGGCACAAAATCTCAATCTAATCCGCCATTTTTTGGCGGGTGCGCAGGCCGGCGGACGAGCCACGACTCGTTTTGCCACCCTTAATATCAATTACTAAATCTTTTGAGGATACTTTGTTTAGTAAGTCAAAGTTAAGATGAGTTAGGCATCTATGCCATAACCAAAGATTTTTATTCATGTTAGCTGGGCATTTAGTTCCGACCAAAGATACCTCATCTAAGTTAAACATATAAGTATTTTTCACTTTTAACCAACTATTATGCTAAGATTAATATTCTTCCGGTTCTTGAATTTATCTTGCATCTATTTCAAATTTTCATTAATAGTAGCCAAATCCTTTGCCTTTTATTCATATTAATATAAGTAACTTTTGTTATCCATGCACTTTCAAAACATAAATATTTGAATTTTGCTCGATGAACATTACCAAACGACATGATTAAAATGAGATGATGATCAGAAAAATTCACACGAACAAGAACTTTGACACACACATTCAAAAAGTTAAGCATCTAACTATCATTAAAAAAAAACTTTGAATTAACTATCATTAAAAAAAAAAACCAATCAAACTTTTTAAATGTTCAATTACCACCATGGATAATAGATAATAGGACACATCTCATGTACATTTACAACCATGATCACATATTATTAAGATTGCAAGTATAAAATATCTTTACAAATTTACCACACTTGCAAACAAAAGCAGAGGTTCATATTTTTTTTACATTTTAATTTTTATAATTATTTATTTATTTAAATTCTAGTAAATATTTTTTTTTTTTAATTTGTTTGTCCTAACTCATTTAGTTTATATTAAAATTGGTATATGTAGTATGTAAACTATTTAATTTTAATCTCTAACATAAATTACATAAAGATTAAAATCAAATATTTTTACATATTATATATAAAGAATAATTTTAATACAAACCAATTTTATAAAAATTAAAATAAAAGAACATAAACCAAGTATAGTTTTTTATAAGATTAAAACCAAACAAAATAACTTACAAAGATTAGAATAAAAAGATATATTCACAACAACTAATTATATATTAAACTTTTTAAAATAAGAAATTAAAATTGAAAATTCCAATTTAATATTCACTTTTTCCCAAAATAAATATTGCTTTACTTTTTTAATAGTATGTTAATTAATTTTTACCTTTATCTATAATAAATTGAGTACATTAAACTATTAAATGTTATTATATTATTATGCATCTATTACAATACTACATAATAACAAAATAATTAAAAACATAATCAAATTAATATCTTTAGATATCGATTTTTATTTATATTTTCACCTATTTTGTTGTTTTCTAGAATACATATATCATTGATTCTTTGCTATCATCATCGACATAGAAAAGAAAAACCTAAATTGCGACATTGCTAGGATTCCCTTTTTCTCTTCAATCGACGACTTTGCCTTCTTCCTTCAACCCTCTCTCTCTACTGTAAGCATATTCTCAGATCTCATTCTTATCTTTTTCGTTCCATGATTTTCGTAGTTCATTCATTATTATAATGTAATGTGTTGTTAGTTTTCAAAACCTAACCCTAAACATCGACGTTTTTGCTCAAACTTTTATACGTTGTTCATAATTTGGGATTTTATTTTGACAATTTAAGGTCGATGATGTATTTCTCATGAGATAGATCTAAGTTTTCTTAAGTGCAATCTTTTTAATATTGTTCTTGGGATGTGAAAAAACTATTTTAAAATTATTTCTGGAAGCTTATTTGATTTATAAATTGGGTTTATATAAGTTTTATATGTTTATAATCTACTTAAGTTTTTTTTTTTGACTTTTGGGTGCTGTTGATTGTCTTCCTTTGCAGAGTGTTTTGTGGTTTGGATTTGATTTAGAAGCTGGTAGTAAAATTTTTCTGTGATGGGTGGTCAAAGAGAAAGAAGTACTTATGGTAAGCGTCCTCGATCTCAGTCTGATTATGACGGCGGTGGAAATAAAAGGAGGAATGGAGGTGATGATAGGGATCAGTTTGTGATTGATAAAGAAGATACTGTTTTTCGTTATTTGTGCATTGCGAGAAAGATCGGTAGTATCATTGGTAGAGGAGGTGAGATTGTTAAGCAATTAAGGGTAGAAACTAAGGCTAAGATTAGGATTGGCGAGACTGTGCCGGGGTGTGATGAGCGTGTTGTTACTGTTTATAGTTCGAGTGGGGAGACTAATGCTCTTGATGATGGTGGTAAGAATGTGTCGCCTGCTGAAGATGCTTTGTTTAAGATTCATGATAGAGTGGTTGCTGAGGATTTACACAGTGATCAGGAGGAAGAGGGCGGTCCTCAAGTTACTGCTAGGCTGTTAGTGCCGGCCGATCAGATAGGCTGTGTTCTTGGAAAGGGTGGGCAGATTGTTCAGACCATACGCAGTGAAACTGGGGCTCAGATTCGTATACTTAAAGATGAACATATACCTCTATGTGCCTTGCGCTCTGATGAGCTTGTGCAGGTTAATTTTCTTAGAATTACATTATACTTTGATTCTTTTCAATTATTAATTTTCTTTCCATGAATATAAGTTCTATTTCAAATTACTAGACACATTTTTTTAATTTTTTTCAAACATATCCATAATAGATAAGTCTCTTGGAGAATGAAAAGTCATAGCCAAAATTATTTTAGGAACATTCATACACATAAAGGACAGACAAAATACCTATTTTTCTTAATCTATGGGATTGTTGAAATAGAGGCTTACAATAAGGGACGTAGGGAAATAGGGAGTCATTGCTATTTGGATGATTTGATTTTTTCAGCAATCGTATGCAACTATGCACCATGCTTTATTAGTTTGAAATATTGAAATTGAGTTTTATGTATCTTACTTTTTTAATTCATGTTTATGCAGCTTCTTTTTTTTTTTTTCTATTTATTTTTGTGTGTGCAACATGCTTTATTTTATGTACAACTATCTATATTTCAACTGCGTTGCGGTTTCCAATATTTACCTGCCACACCATCAGCTATTTCTCATATCGGCCGCCGCTTTTTCTCATATTGGATTTTTGGCGATCTGCAATTTTCTGCGATCCACTATCAATAAGACTGTTACTGTTAGATCTGAGTAGAAAAGTTATCATATATATTGCTTATAATGAGTTTTCTTTTTGGTTTTGAAACTCCAGATTTCTGGGGATGCCGCAGTTGTGAAAAAGGCTTTGCATCAAATTGCATATCGACTTCACCTAAACCCTTCTCGAACTCAGCATTTGCTTGCTTCTTCTGTTCCCGGCGCATATCAAAGTGGTGGTTCATTCTTGGGTCCAACTGCAGGACCTCCGATTGTGGGGATCGCTCCTCTTGCTGGTTCCTATGGGGGATATAAAGGTGACACTGGTGACTGGCCACGGTCTATGTACTCGGCACCTAGGGATGAAATGTCACCCATGGAATTTTCAATTCGATTGGTTTGTCCAACTGGAAACCTTGGGGGCGTAATAGGGAAAGGCGGTGGCATAATAAATCAAATAAGGCAGGAATCTGGAGCAACAATCAAAGTTGATAGTTCTGCCAAAGGAGATGAATGCTTAATAACCATTGCAACAAAAGAGGTAAACTATTAATCCGTGGTTCATTTTTCTTTTTCATTCTATAAAAATTGTGGTAATGTATATACTGGATTTGTGAGGTTTGATAAAATATGCGAACTACAATATCAATCAAAGGGAAATGTTATTTACTAGCTTGCAATTTTTGTTTTTCTCTTAAAAAATTTATTTATGTTGTATTAATATTTTCTGAGTTATGCCAATGCAGTTCTTTGAAGAAAATTTCTCTCCAACAATAGAAGCAGCTGTGCGTTTGCAACCTCGATGCAGTGAAAAAAATGAAAGAGATTCTGGAATAATCTCTTTCACTACCCGTCTGCTGGTATCATCATCAAGAATTGGCTGCCTTATTGGTAAAGGAGGATCTATTATAACTGAGATGAGGAGGCTTACAAAATCCAACATTCGCATACTGTCAAAGGAAAATCTTCCTAGAATTGCTTCCGATGACGATGAAATGGTGCAGGTAAGGGTTGTCTTTTCTCACTTTGTCTGGTAATTTGCCGTCTTTGTGTGATAAATGTACTTACATTTTATCCTTTCTTGATTAGATTTCAGGAGACCTTGATGTTGCCAAAGATGCTCTTGTTCACGTACTTACACGATTGAGAGCAAACCTTTTTGATAGAGAGGGTGCTGTCTCTGGATTCCTCCCAGTTCTACCATATATTCCTGCTCCAGCAGACTCCTCTGATGGTCTTGGCTATGACAGTAGGGATGGAAGAAGATATGGACGCGGGCATTCTTATTCAAGTGGCTATGGAGGATCAAGCGATTTAGGAGCTGGCGACACTTATGGAAGCTATGGTGGTTCACAGGTATTTCTGTATAACCGTATGTGACTTTAGGGGAACATTTGTATATATCCGAGCTCTTCAAGAGTTTGAGTTAATCCATTATTTGTCATCTGATGTTTGTAATATTGTTCTGTTTATCTGTAGCTTGCTGGAAGCAGTGCTTATGGGGACTATGAAAGTTACTCTTTGGGACGGGATAGTACTGTTTGGTAACCAATCTTCCTCCAGTTAACATTTTTTTATCACGTTCTCCATTTTTTCTTTCCTATGAGTATTTGTTGTTGATGAATGAGATATCTACTTTGCAGATGAACCAAACAAATGATAACTAATTCTAATATAAACCTTATATCTGCTTTGATATTTTTTAAGGACCAAAAGGTTTGGTTTGGTGCTACTATTAACCCTGTTTGAAATCAAAACATGTTATTAGTTACTTCACGGATACTTGATTTGTAGTATTATTTATGGATGCATTTATATTGCAAAAATTCAATTTTCAAGATTTTTTAATTTTCTTGTGTTTGATTCTATATATTGTGATCTATTATTATTTGCTACCCATAAAAGGTGGAAAATATTTTCAACTTTAAATATCCTCTTGGCAAATATCTTTAGGTTGAAATGCATCATTGAATGTTAAGGGACCGTTTGGTTTGTGCAATACTTATTTGTTTTTACCTTTAAGTACAAAAACCCACCTCGATTTTATTTTCTGCAGTTTTTTTTTGTATAGAAAGTAAACAAATTTTTTCACTGTTTCTATATAAATATTTGAAATCTGAAATAATGCGAGAACAAAATGACATTTTCTCTAATTACAAATGAAAATAGGAAATGTTTTCTTATGTGAAGCATGATCAAGTTATGTTACATTCCAATTTTCTGTATTCTGCCCTACCTGTATGAAGAGACTATTCTTGTATTGAGTATTCTTTCATTCACCTGTTTTTGATGTTCATATTTGTTTCCAGGTTGCCCAGTCAGAACAATGTTTCTAGGAGGAGAAACCCTGCTTACTAGAAGTTGGTGGGTCTCAACAGGTAGATTGCGATTTCCATTAACTTTTTTTCGTTAATTTAGCAAACTTCCTATGATATACTATATAGGTCATTCATATTATTAAATTAGAGACTTATATCTTAACCTGACCAGTGTCCCGTGTAGAATTCTGATGCTCTTGTCTTACCTTTGTTCCCTTTCCCTTACCATCCAAACAGCCGAGATGTGTGAAGCCCGCAGCCTGCCTAAACCAGAAGACCAGATGAACCAGGATTTGACAAATTTATGGCCTACCTTGATGCATCTACTTAGAGGACCAAACTTATGTGGAGCCTATTAAAACCGCCATGTCCATTTTACCTTAATTCCCAAGCTCAACAACTTATGCTCCCAAGAACCTATATAGTTGGCTTGCCTTTGTTTTTTTTTTATTGTTCTTGTTCCTTTGACTTTGGAACTAAAAAACACTACATATCTATGATTTCCAGTTGTAGTATACTTTTATTGCCTGATTGTGTTGTTGACTATTTCCCACATTTCACCGTCCAATCCAATGCCGTACGATCTTTGTGGTTATTTGAATTTGTGTGAAAAATTATGCTAACTAGGCCTAAAACATCTAATTTTGGATGAGTTTTAGAGTCATCTGTATTGCAGGGTGCAAGTATTTGCTTACGATAGATCGTTGTAACCAGGTAAAGGTATATGCATTATATCTCTTGTTCGTCTCCTTCCTCAATTGCGAATGTTATACCTGTGTGAATATATATTTAATTATGAATATGCATGGTTTTTGTCTGTGGTTTATTAGCATTAGGCATTGAGCTGCATTGTATAATTTTTCATTTTTCTGATTGGTCGGTATCAATTTATTGGAGCACGGCTACGGCTATTTGAAATATTGCTTACGAACGAAGACATCTGCTGTGCTATCAAGCCACTGGGTCACCCTGCGTGGGTGACCCAATGGCCCATGTGCAATGAATGGAAGTATGTGTTTAGTGTTTCTCTTGTAATACTTTTCTCAAGTTTTTTATATCTGGAAAAAAACAACTTTTTTTCGGAGGTTTTTTGTCTTTCACTTCTCCATTGGATAATGTAAACATATACCACTTTTATGATTCTTGGAGATATTTGTGGCTAGTTTTGTAGGTTGTCTACATTATTTTGATTGCTTTTTACTAATTTGTAACTTAATCTGAATGCAAACTTTATTTATGATTTTGCAACTCAATTGGGGCATGCATTTATGAATGCATGTGGTTGGTTTATCACTTTGTTCTCGGTACTGTGTTGTCATATCCTTTTCTGGTTGCTTGGTATAATGCATCAACCAGCAGAGTGATATATCTCGTTGAACTACTAGATATATCGCTTTATTATATTTATCGAACTAGCAATGCTACATTTTATTATAAGTAATGAACAAAAACTTGACTAGTTCATGTTCAATCAATCAGAAAAAAGAAAGAAATATGTTGGTAATCTTAGAAAGATGATATAGCCAACCATAAATTGCAAGCCATTTTTGTTCATTTTCATCTGAACTTATTTTCATAATGTAACTATTAAGGAATTGAACTTATTCTAAAGTTAAGATATATGAATGAATCTTATCAAATAATGTATGTTTTTTAATAGAATGGTTGGTGACTTTTACTTGCAATTAGTTAAGTTATCTTGAAAATATTCTATTGAACTGAATTCATTTCAAATGGGAAAAGAATCATTTTTCAATTGTGGATTTAATGCTAGTAGATGAAGATTAGAAAATCGTACTGCATAAAATTAATAATTCTGTTAAAATAGGAACATACATTGCATCAAAGTTCACATGTCTAGCTAATAAAAATTGATAGTACATGGTATGCTATATAGAATCATCATACATTGCATCAGTTCACATGTCTAGCTAATTCACAGTTCACATGTCTAGCTAATAAAAATTGATAGTACATGGTATGCTATATAGAATCATCACGAAACAAAAACAAGTACATGGTATGCTATATAGAATCATCACGAAACAAAAACAAGTGCTCTGTTTTTTCAGTGGCAAAAAATCCAACATCTGCCATAACATTCAATTCCATTGTCTTCTTTAGGACCAAATGTAGTAAATAACTTTCACCTAACTTAATAAAAAATGTACTTTATTTATTTATTTTCAATTTAATCATTAACTCAATAAAAACCTACTTTTTCCCTTTTCAATTTAATCAATAGTTCCATCCAATGTTTTAAACCACCGGTTCACCGACTTTTAGCGGTTTTGGTCGGTTTTTACTGGTTTAATAACATATCTGATCAAGCAAACCATTGGTTCATTGACTTTTAGCGGTTCTGGCTGGTTCTCAATGGTTCAATAACATATTCGATTAAGCAATTAGACCAGATCGATGACCTCTTTGATTTCTGATTTGATTAGTTTGACTGGCCGGTTCAGTCTAGTTTTTAAAACACTGGTTCTACCTAGTTCAAAATGATAATATTTGACATAATTGAAAAATTAATAATTATTTTTAGATTGAAACAAATTTTATTTACTAAAATAGACAATAATTTTGAAACATTTTTGTTTCTCAGTAACTAAGTTCTTAAAGCATAACAAACTTACTTGAGTTGGAATAAATCTTAAAGTTTTAACATTTATATAAATACTTACTAGTTATTTACTATAGAAGTTTTTTATTAGCGGAAGTTAATTGATCATAATTTTTTAAAACTTAGTCTATGTTTGGTTTTATGATTCAATCTCACCATCCACTTGCTGACATATAAACTTAGTCAAACACAAAGATTTAAATTTAAGATCTGGAGAAAAACATATAAACCTAGCCAAACACAATACAAACTTGAGATTTTGAGAAAAACGCAATTTCATAATTCAAGTTTTTACTACTAGACCAATTTTTACTTTCAATTATCTTAGTAAGAATCAATTTCGTGTTTTCACCATTAGACCAGTATTTACTTATCTTATAGTAAGAATCAATTCATTACGAGTCAATTTTTCCACCGCAAAATCAAATACTCTTAAATACAACTCAAAAACCTACTCAGTAGTAGTGGGGATGCATCTAATAAGGTTCTCATTATTTCTTGGATTCTCCACCCATGCAAAGTCACATCTAGCTATAACAATCCTCCACATTACACATTTTCAATCAATTTTCCAATATACAAAGGACAACAAGGGACAGTTATAGTACTGTTCCCTCTGCAACAACTTTAATGCAATTTCAGTTGCCAACTTGCCATTACCATGTCAAGTAACAATTTTTTTTTTGCTTATATAATTATCCTAATGCTTTCTGTGCTTCAAACCTCATTCGGCTATTTTCTGCCAAGAAAGTTCTTGGACTCCAATTGGCTTCTCCTTCTCTACCAGTTATCATACACACCCTATGAGAATCCATGTGTGTTTTTGTCATAAGGGTCTTTTCTTTTCATTCTATTAGAGAATGTTATCTTTCTCATTTTGGAAAAAGCTCCTACAATTTGATTGGTTGCACTAATTATTGTTTTTTTTTTGCAAAAATTCTTGCATATTTTTGATAGTATATTTTGGTAGTAACCATTCGGTTTCTAGTAAACTTTTTTCGATAATCCAAGTTTAGTAGAGAGGTAAATTAAATCCAGTCAAAGATAGTTCAAGTAGAGTTAGGGTTTAAACTCTGATGATACTCGTATGCTTGACTTATGGTAATATGAATGTCATCTAATATCTTGCATGTGGGAATGAGGTCATGTATGCAGCCAAGGATGACTTGCCGGCGAATCTCTTTTGATAAATGTTAATAGTCGAGGCTTCAAAACTCAATTTGCACTAAAAATATATACGCCATTTTCGTGCAAATTGAGTTCAAGGCCTTGAAACAACTAGGTTAACATGTTTGGTTTCAAAGTGAGAACTTGTCCGGCAAGTCGTCTCGGGCTAAATACCGACCTCATTTTTTCATGCTAGATTTTTTATGATGATATAGCCATACACATTTTGGAATCACCAAAACTGATGCACAAATATTACAACATAATAGTTATATTGATCCTTTGATTTAATTAACATGTTGTATTTTTGCAGGTATGTTTCAGCATTTTGTCAATGCTTCAAGTGGTTACTTATTGTTGCTTAAAATTTAAAATATTAGCCTAGTGATTATAACTTTTGTTTTACAAAACTAAAAGTATTAAGGTAATTTCTTAATATATGTAAAGTTAGTTAATTATTCTTATAAATAAAACTAGTGAAGAAAATTTCCCTAACCTTAACCTTTGTTAGTTGTCTTGTCACTGGTGTTCATTGAATTAGAACCAAAAAAGATGTTGTCTTTTCAGAATCCCAATAGTTTTTCGAATTGTTTGACCAGATTCAGTGGTCATAAATGCTAAAAACATAATTATATATTTTCCTAAATAAAAAAAAGTATATAATATGCTAAAAAGTAGACATTTTATCAACTCTCACAGCTGAGTTGATGCGAGGATCTCTTTGTTGAGTCTTAGATTTGTCCTTTGGAGTCCAATTCACATCAATTTTATAAAAAAAAGTTATATAATATGCTAAAAAGTAGGCATATTATGTCTGTAAATTCTATCTTTATTAACTAAGTCAATATTATCAGATTCAACTCAATATTATTAGATTCACTAATCCTATGAATTTTTATAGTTATTATTACTTAAAAAATATAAATAAATGAAATAAAATATATGAGCTCTAAATATAAATAGTTTTCTTTTAACACCTCATATTATCAATATTTAACTCAAGTAGTGCGCATAAGTTTTTAGTAGTTATTAAATACTTCTTCTATAATTTAATATCTTTTTTAATTTTGTATTTTAATATCACTTAATTTTAAAAAACTTTATATTAATTATTTAATTCTTCAAAATGTTTCATATTAATTATTTTTAGTTTATAAGCAAAAAAAAAATAAAATCGATTGTTAAATTTGTCATTAATTAAACGAAAAAGACTAACATAGTATTTTTTAAAAAACTAAAAGATTAATATAAATATTTTTTAAATCAAGAAACTAAAATAAATCTCGAGATTCAGACACATGACTAAAAAATGATATTAAATCTAAAATAAAATAGACAAATAAAATAAAATACACTGATCTAAAATATAAATAATTTTTCCTTTAACCCTTCAACCTTTTTTCAGGTTAATCCCGTCTTTTATATTCGGATTAAAGTATTCCAATACTTTTTTTTTATTGAAATCTTTACTTAAATTTTTTTTTCTCTGTGTGAATGTCTACAAATAAAAAAAAATTGATAAATGAATAAAATTCATAAGTTTAAAATATAAATAATTTTTCCTTTAATTCATCATTTGTCAATATTTAACTCAAATTCAAAGTTGCACGTGGTTATTACCACTCTGTCTATAAATAAAAAAAAATAGACAAATGAAACAAAATACATAAACTCAAAATATAAATAATTTTTTCCTTCAATCCTTCATACACCAATATTTAACACAAACTCAAAATATGAAATAAAAATAAATAAAAATTACAAAAATTAAAAATATCCCATGAAAGACTTATTACACACAAACATGTAAACTTCATGTTTATAGATGAAGGTGGAAATTGAAGGAGAAAAAGAAGAGCATGATGAATTAAAGAGATATGAAACCTTCTCCTACTAGGAATCCCAACATGAGAACAAGAAGTCCAATTGTGATGCTTGTACTTGGCGATACGAAGGTTTGTGAGTAAGCAAGTAAAGTAAAAGCTGCACCAATTAATCCAATCACAAGTGCTTTTGTCTTCTGCTTCATTTTCTTGAAGATGCTAGTTATTGTTTCAAAGTTTTGATGATTTGCCAATGTTTAGTTTTGCAATCTTTTATATTATAGTCTTTTTTTCAAGTCAACCCTTGTTTGAGAGGATGATATTTAATATAATATAGTTAGATTGATTATTGATCCACTTGTAAGTTGTAATACAATCACCCCAAAAAAATTGAATATATAAAATAGGTGACAATAGTATATACAGGGACATCAAAAAGAACTTTGATGACTGAGATTAAAAAAAATAATATTTTTTTCAACTAATAAAAATATATCTATTCACATTAGATGTAAATTTAAAAGACTTATACAAAATATCAATCGTTAAAAAGATTAATCAAACAATTATATTAAATAAAATAAAAAAATTAATCATTAAAAAAAATAATCTGTAATATATATATATATATATATATATATATATATATATATATATATATATATATATATATATATATATATATATATATATATATATATATATATATATATATATATATATATATACACACACACACGGAGCTATGTTGCTCCTTGTGTGGGTTAAAGCCTCCACTAAAATTAATAGAATACACTCTAGTGGAGTATTAAAGAGAAACTTTAAAACATTATTTAATTAATTGAGTAATTTGACCATTCTTAAAAAATAATAAATAATTATTTTAGTCATCTAATATATTTTTATCTTAAAATTTAATTCATAAATTACTCAAAAAAAATATTGATAATGTATTTGTAGTTTGGATATAACTAAGAATTAAAGTGACAACGTCTCACATATTCAAGAATTAAAATAAATATTTTTTAAATAATTTTTTAGTTATAAATCTTTTCATTGTCATTATTGTTTAATTATCTATACAAAATAATATTTTATTTATATTAAAATAAGAAAAATAATTAACTATTTAAATATAAAAAATCTTATAAAATAATTTTTATGTATTATTTATATTTTTAAAAAAGCTGTTATATCATACTATATATAATTTCCCCATTATCTAATATTTCTGTAAAAAAATTCAAGAATTCTTTCATTTTCATTGAGCCCTAAAAGCGAGGTGCTTTAGGCGAAACGAAATGCACGAGACATTTTGGCAGAAATCCAGAGCGATTTGTTTTAGAATTTGTGCAATTCGTAAGGCTCGTAAGGCTTTTCTAACACTTTTTAGGAAAATAGAGTTTTCTAATGAGAGATATTTAGAGAGACAAAGAGACAACTTCTTAGGGTTTCTTTCTCTAAGGGTTAATTTGAGTGATAATTTGATATTATTTAAGAGATAAGAAACACTTTTAAATATTTTAGAATGGTTAGTGTGTGAGATATTTTTAGTGAGGACAGACAGAGAGAATAAAAAAAATAATGATTGATATCATTGAATGAATGATAATAAAATTGAATTACAAAGTGTCTATTTATATACAACTAAGTGATTTAACTACTAAGTAAAATGTTTATCAAAAAAAAAAAAAAACTACCAAGTAAAATAACAAACTAAATAACAAACCTTAAACCCTAATTAACTTTGGGCTTGAGACACACAACTCAACTTGGATTATATATAATATTTCAACATACCCCTTATAATCCAAGTTGTCGAAACACACTAATCATTGTCAATTTGAACTATTCCCAATTTATTTCTCAATGTTAGGAACCTGTTGATCTTCAATCCTTTGGTAAAAATGTCGGCCAATTATGCTTCACTTGAGCAATGCCTTACTTCAAGTTCACCTCTACTCACCTTTTCCCTTAAGAAGTGAAATATAGCTTAGATGTACTTACTTCTTCCATGCAAAACTAGATTCATCGCCAGATTTATGGCTGACTTGTTGATCTGCAGTACTAGAGGTTTCTTCACTTCGACCTCCATTTCTTCAAGCACAGATCTGATCCAAATTGCTTAACACGCAACATATGATCATTCTATATATTCAGCCTCACACGATGACAATGCAACCACCAGTTACTTTCTAGACCACCACGAATTGGGGCACCAAATACTTGAAAGAAATATCCAGTAGTGATTCTTCGATCTTCCTTATCTTCACACCAACCAACATCTGAATAGCAAGTAACCATAGTTTCTTTACTTTCAAAGTGTCGTCGAAATAGAATTCCATAGTTTGTCGATCCTTTTAAGTATCTTAGGATTTTTCTTGCAGCTTTCATGTGTGACACCCTTGGTTCACTTATATATCTGCTCACTAATCCGACTGAGAAACATATATCAGGTCGACTATTGCACACATATCTCAGACATCTAACAATTTGTTTAAACGAAGTTGCGTTGAATTTGTCTTCCTCTCCTTGCTTCTCCAATTTCAAGTTTTGTTTGATAGACAAAGATGCAGGACTCAAATCATCCATTCTAAATCTCTTGAGTATCTTCTTGACATAACTTCTTTGATGTAGCACCATACCTTGCTTTGACATTTGAAATTCCATGCCTAGGAAATATGGCAACTTTCCTAGATCTAACATTTCAAATTCCTTCTTCATCAGCTCTTTGAACTTCGATTATCAAGAGTCAGATTATCTGCCGATATGACATTCACAGCAAGATCATTACTGATAATGGGTTGAACTTGAATAATAAGATGATGAAAGAGCTTTGCGTTGATTTCAAGATTGAACATCATAAATCTTCTCCATACATACCTAAGATGAATATGGCTGTTGAAGCTACGAATAAGAATATTAAGAGGATTATCCAAAAGATGGTTGTGACATATAAAGATTGGCAGGAGATGCTCCCTTTTGCTTTGCATGGATATCGTACATTTATCCGCACTTCAACAAGGGCAACCCCTTTCTCACTTATGTATGGTATGGAAACAATGCTCCCCATAGAGGTTGGGATCCCATCAATGCAAGTCTTGATGGAAGTCAAGTTGTATGAGGCTGAGTGGTGACAAAGCTGATATGGTCAATTGAATTTGATTGAAGATAATAGGATGATGACTTTGTGTCATGATTAATTATATTAGAAAATAATGAAGAAAACATTTGATAAGAAGGTTCGACTTTGTATATTCAGATAAGGCAACCTCGTGCTCAAAAAGATCTTGTCTTTCAATACTGATACTAGGGACAAGTGGACTTCTAATTATGAAGGCCCATATGTTGTTAAGAAAGCCTTCTCTGGAGGTGCATTAACTCTTATAACTATGGATGGTGAGGAGCTCCCACGTCCTATGAATGCCGATACAGTCAAGAAATACTTTGCCTAAAAAATAAAAGAACAACTCGCAAAGTTGAAAAATTTGAAAGGGCGGCTTAGGCAAAAATGAGCATCTCGGCGGGTTGAAAACCTGAAAGGGCGGTCTAGGCAAAAGTTAGAGACATAAACAGAAAATAATCATCCTGGTAGATTGAAAACCCGAAAGGAAAATCTAGGCAAAGTTAGGAATTATGGCAAGTAACTACATCAGGCCAGACTTGATAACTTGAAGCAACATTGCCCATCAAGAATTTTCATTCTCATCATTCTCGACAGAAGTTTTGAGCATAATGGAATTCAAAGTTGTTAGGGAGAATAGTGGTCATTGTACTTCAATGTAGCCTTTTCCTTTATTTACCATTTACCAACTTTGTAATGATCTATGGAGTCACTACATTTGCGGACTACCATTCTATCAATAAAATTTGAGGCTTTGTTCATTTGTTTGCAATTCTTATTTGTTTCTATTTTACAAAATTTAATTTATTTTTTATAATAATTTTTTAAACAAAAGATAAATAATAATCATGCATTTGAAAATTACAAAAAATATTTTCCTTTGATTTGTGAATGCAAAAAGGAATGTCAACAGTTATTCTAAGGATGCTAAAATCTCAAAGTGTAGAACTCGATGTTCTCCCAAGCATAGTTGTTCTTGTGGATGTGTTCAAGTTTCCCTACACTTGTTAATTAAATAGTGGGTTTCCTCCAAGTTGCTATGATGTGTTGGATTTTGTGATCCAATTCCCCCAGTTGAGCACTAGTTTAGGAGTTCCCCAAATGAGTACTGAATTCAATATTTCCCAATTAAATCCTGAGCTTGGATTCCCCAGCTAAGTCTTGATTCAGATTTCTCCAGCTGAGTGTGATTCTCTCTCCAACCAGGTTGTGATCAAGCAAATATATGAAGTTGTGAAGCTTTTGTTTAGATTGTTGGATTCCATCTCGCTTTGTATTGAGACCTGATGTGGGATCCCCTGCAGGTTTTTACCTTATCAATTATGGTTTTGTTGCCTTTGTGTGCCATCCAAGTAGCAAGTCTAGAGTAGTATTTCCTACTAAGAAGTGTTGAGATAGCAGTCAATTGTTGGATTTTCTCTCACCTTGTGTTGAGTTTTGATTTAAAATCCTCCGCAAGTTAACTTTCTGATGTGATGTTAACTTCTTAGTTTCCCAACAAGTTCAGGGTGTTTTCCTTGAAGATTGTTTATCCCCTAAGGAGTTTTCTTTGAAGCTCTCAAGGTTTACATTTCTTTCATCGAAGTTTGTGCAAGTGATACTCTTAGTTTTGGAAGAATTTTCGTGGTGTTGATCCTCAGCAGATCCATCTTCTCCCATAACCAAGTTTCTGCAAAGATATGTTTTTCCTCTTAAAGGTTATCTTTTGGAAGATTCATGTTGTGTTTACTCCAACCGGTCTTTCCATCCCTTTAAAAAAGTTGATAGAGGTGTTATCCCTCTTAGAGGTTGATTTTCCTCGAAGAGTTTTGCTTGGTATGTATCCCTAGCAAGTCTTCATCTTCTCGTAGCGGAGTTTTGTATGGTTTTTCTTTTCCCCAAGAAGAGTTTTGAAGATTTATGTTTTTGTGTTTCCCCAGCAGATCCTTCCATTCCCTCAAAGCGGAGTTCATATTGTTTGTCCCTCAGTGAATTATTGATATAAGAAGATTGGACCTTGGATTTCTTCCCAAGCGTATCTTCCTCTCCCCAGAGATATGAACCTTGAAATAAGACTTTTTCCTTCAGTGGTTTCTGTTCATC